TATATATATATATATATATAAATAAGGGCAAGGGTGATATTTTTCTTTTTTTCTCAAGAAACGTGAAAATAACAGTCTTAAGTATGGTCCCCCCCAATAAATTTTATCTGACGACGCCAATGGCGTCATAACAAAAAACAGAAACCTTTTTATTGTGACATAAAATATCGCAAAAAGGTAATAATTACATAACTGTTCAAATATTTACTTATAGAAATTTTATTGAAGTCACAGTTTGATTCCAGAAGGCTAACAATTATGCAACATCAAACTTGTAATAGATGCAGAAGTAAGCATAGTCGCCGCAAGCTAGAAAATATAGTTCCATTACGGGGAGTTGTCAAAAGTTTGGGCCCCTCAATGTTGAATTCTCTTTTCGCTTCATAGCTCTATAACTAATTGGGTTATTCAAAAAATTTTTGCCCCACTTATAAAACTCATATGTACCTAAAGATGGTTTCATGGAAAAATGATTTTTTATTCATTACTAGCTGAATACCTGTTTTGCGCACTGGGTGAATTTAAAAAGCAAAAAGAATCAATAAATCAGTACTGTGGAAAAAAATCACAATCCTCCTCAAAACTTAAAGACCAACACAAAGATTTTGATGGAAGAGCCAGGTGGATGACATTTTTATGGGGATGAATGAATTAGAGAAAATAACATAAAGTGATTGCGTCAATATGGGTATGTTTAATGTAACAGAACTGTTTTTACTTTCATTTTGTTTATGATAGAACTAGAATAGAATGCTTATGTTAGAACTAAATGAAAACTTAATAAATAAATACCTGATTTCAGGCTTCTCTTGAGGGCGTATTCAAGCGTTGCGATCGCGAATAACCAGGTTTTATGTTTAAATGATGACTTTTTAAAATCGTTTACTGTTTTTTCAAACTTAGCTTTTGGATTAAAATAAAACAATGCAAGATATTTTAAACAATTCGCGATTGCAACGAACTATAGGGGGCGTTGCTGTATGAAAAGAATTCCTGCGATTTCTATATGAACAATCATTCAGTTGCTCTGGAGACGTCTTTTAATGTAGCGTGTAGCATTGTAACGTTCCTTCTTTATTGTGGCTTATTAAATTTAAAAAAGAAAAATGTTTGATATTTTTTCTTATGCAAGCGAAAACAAAATGGTATGGTTTTTTTAACTTAATAAATAAATGCCTGATATTTCCAGGCTCCGCTAGAGGGCGTACTCAAGCGTTGCGATCGCGAATTAAATGCAGATATTTTTTGATGACTGAAGACTTTGAATGAAGACTTTTTGATGAATAAAGACTTTTGATGACTGAAGACTTTGCAGAACCGTTTTCTTAAAGCAAGATACTTCAAGATATATTTGAATAACAAACTGTTGACTGATTATACTGTTACAGTAACAAATTAATCGTGTTTGCAAGTTGCACAAATGATGAAGGCTGATTTATACAATTCAATTCAAAAACATTTATTTTAAGTGATCACAACGCTTGAACACGCCCCCTAGCGGGTAGTATATTTTCATGCTTTTATTTATTAAGTTTTTATTTCGTTCCATCAGAAACATTGGCAGCAAAATTTCCCTCAGGAAAAGGCAGAAGAACTTTCAAAAACGAACCAGAACATCGGTAATTCATTTGGAAACAGAACTCTCCCAACATTTGAAGAACAATTTCTCAATAATTTTTGCCTTTCAATATCAACTAACTTGCAACCGATAACTTCCGATTTCGTGATCGCATACTGTTACAGATTATTACGGTAAAATATTTTGTTGTTGTTTAAATTCATTATAAATCAAAATGAAGCCAACATTGCCTACTTCATTCCAATGAAAAAACGTGATTTCGGAACTTGCAGAACTGGAATAGTTATAGAATATTCTTCTTCTTTAAAGAATAGTATATATTTCTGAATCAATATAATTCGGAAAAGAATCATCCAAATTACTTGAAATAGTATCATTTGGGTTGATAACTAATAATTTTTTATCGTTTTCTTGGTAAGTATTTTTTAATTTTAAATAAATAATTTCAACTAGAATTTAGCTATTCTGTTTTTAAGTTACATATTGAAATTCATATTGAGATCTTACAATTATAAAATTTTGTTGGTGTGGTATGTTATCTAAAAGAAATAAAGGAATAATCTATGTATACATTATTTAAAAATAAAATTTTCAAACGAAGAACAATCATTCTGGAATTCTCCGGATTTAAGTAAGTGTTATGAGTCTTACAATAAAAAATTTACTTGTAAATTCTTTTTTTTTCTAATTTGATGATAGTTCTCGATAGAATGGTTTTCTGCGTCTGATTAAGAACTTGAAGACTGGAAAAAAGAAACAAGATTAAAGTTTTTAATTTCAATATAAGGAATTTTTTTTTCTTTCATTCTTTATTTTTAGTTTATAAATAATGATTTTTATTGAAACTTTATTTTTGATAAAAATTGTCGTCAAAAATCTGTTTTTTGTAAAATTAAATGGTATAACATTATGTGTTTCTGTATACTTTTTGCATGATTTTACTGTTTGAAGTGATATGATATCGAAAAGTATGGAATGCGAGATTTAAATCGATCTTTCACACTAGATTAAATCGATCTCTCACACAGACTAGACAAATTTAGTAGAACGATTTCTTAGGCACTAGGTTTTAACTCTATTTACAAGATTTTTACAAATATTTTCCGATGTGATTTGGATGTTTCTTCTTTAAAAAAATCATATTGTTCTGCTCAAAGGAATTCGTCTCAAATAGCAACGCTGCCCCCATAGGTCGTTGCGTTCGCGAATAGAGTGTTTCCTAAATTGTACAAAAGGTGCAAGCACATTTTAACATGAAAAAGTGAATATAGAGTTTTCCCTTCACTTTTTACATTTTAGGAGACAACATCTTTAATTATATTAGCTTATTCCAAATTGTTGTTTCTGATACTAACGTCAATTTTATTGTTTTTACTAGTTGTATAAAAGGTGAAAGCTGACTTTAGCATGCATTTTACAGAAAACAAAAATGCAGAGTTTTTTCTTGACTTTAATATTTTAGGAGACAGCAGATTAAAACAGATTTTAGCCTATTCCAAATAAATTCATCTTCCAAATAATTCTCATTCATGTCAATGCAATAGATTTTGTTAGCAAAATGTACGAAAGGTGAATGTTGGCTTTAACATGAAAATATGAACATAGAGTTTTTACTTCTCTTTTTACAATTTAGGAGACAAAAGCTTCAATTAGATTGTCATATTGTTCTTTTTGATCACATATGTCAATTCAATAGTGTGTATTGGTAAGTTGTACAAAAGTTGAAAGCTGACTTTAAGACACATTTTACAGAAAACAAAAATTTTTACATTTTACAGAAAACCGAGTTTTTTCTGCATGTTGGGGACGACAGCTTTAAGTAGATTAGCCTATTCCAAATAATTCCTTTTCATAGTCTCTCAATTGCAACATGAATCCTTCATTAGGGCAAATGATAGGCCTCGCTTCTTTTACTTTATTAATAGCATCTTGGAGTCGCATGTGCTGTCGGCTCATTAAGTAAGAAATGCAAATAGTAGCGGCCCTAGATATGCCAGCATTACAATGCACAAATATCCAGCCTTTACGTCGACCCTCATCCATGAATTTATGGCATTCGCTGAAAAAACGATGAATGTCCATATCTGGATGGTCCCTTATGTTTAGTCGTTTGTAAGTTATTTCTGCTGGGAAACAGTTGGGGACGCCTGTGGCCACATTCAGAATGTGAGTCACGCCAAGTTTTCGCAGTCGGGCAAGATCTTTGGCGACATCTTGCGAACCTGTAAAAAATTTTAAATCGATCTATTATAAGTATATATTAGTCATATAAATTATGTACAATAAGAATAAATGGGTTTCTCAAAGTCCTTATTTCCTTAAAGGTGGGGTTGGGCAAAATAATGATCTCATATTTTTCATATTTTTCAAAGTACTTTATTACTATATAGTACTTAATACTTAATAGTTCTTAATATTATATAGTACTTAATACTTAATAGTACTTATTTTAAAATTTTAGAAGTGCCTAGGTCATGCGATTTTTCATGCATATGCAAGAAGCTTTTAGGGGTTTGAAGGACCGGCAATAAATTATACGAATGAAAAAGAATGTTTTTGAACACCCTCTGCCAAAAAATAAACTCTTGTCATTTACATTGATTGTCATATGAAATAACTGCATGCAAAACTTAGCTTAAATATTCATTTTTATAAAAAATTTAAGTTTTTTCTACTTTTCTACTGCAGAAATATTCAATAAAATTAAACAAAATTTTTAGAGCAATTTTCAATTAGTAATAAAAATATGAGTTTAAAATTTGAAAACTCGAATTAGTAATTATATATAAAAATAACTCGAGGTAGTAGACAGAGAGAGTAAATCTTAACTATGATTTTAATCATTTTTATTTTGTACCCAGATTAATGCTACTCTTGATATTTTAAAAATCAAGACTCTAAGCGATAAAAAAGAATTATCTTATTCAGAGAAAATAATTTAGTTTTGTGTCTGATTTGGAAAAGTCCTCAATGTCCTTTTATTAAAAAGATCATTTAAAGTGCCGACCGTAAATTTTTAAAATTGCAACTCAGTAAAAATAATTGTAAGAAAATAATATGATTATTATATCAAAATTTATTGCGGTAAGAGTGATCTTTTTTTATTTTAAGTTGGCTGATGATGTTACGAAATAATAACAATAGCGATTCTGAATCAGTAAATTTAAAAGTGTCTGAATATAAAAAATAAGAAATATTCATCGCTTTATATTATTCTCTAAGTAGAGAATTTAATGATATAATGAAATCTTGATTTTTCTCCGTTAAATAAAATGAGGCCTTTCTTTTTTTAGATACGAGATCGCTCATTAAGAGTTTCGGAAACAGTTGGCGAGATGCCAGCAAGACAATGGCATTTTCATGCCAAATGTCAATGCCAAGATCACGACTATCGCAGTTTCGTGAATAATCCACTGAACAGAAAAAGTAAAACATTTTGATCTATTCATTCACTTATGAATAAAATTGTGTCAAAGAAACGGTAATAAAAGTTAAAAAATTTAAATTTAAAAAAGCAATTAAGGTAATAAAATGGAGATTTCATGATATGGGGAACTACCAGTGGTCGGAAGGAGCGAAATTACTGTAGTCGCTACTTTTTCCGTAGTTTGTCGCTCTACTTTTTAAAAGAAGTAATGTAGTGAGTAGTGCGATACAAAAAAATAAAATAAAAAAAAGCATTAGTTTGTAGCGATTCCTGTCAACCACTTTCAACGTTAGTTAAATAAAGAAACAAAGTTCAAAACCAAAACAAAATTTCAAATCTGATAATTACTTCGCGCAATGAATATGTCTCTGTGGCCGTCTGATGCTCGGAAAAATCGAACGGTCGAATTGTTCCTGAGAAATCAGATTTTAAATATCTGATTTTTTTAAAATTCGATCTCACGGGAACTATAAAGTACGTTTTTTTGTAAATTAAAATATCGTCTGCATTAATCCTAATCCTAGAACGTGAAGATGCGAACATTAAATCAAAAGTTATTCAGGGTGGCCCATTTTTTTATTTTTCGCACTGTACTTTATTTCTCGGAGAATATAAAAAAAGCATTGATCACTTAAATCACACATATTTGATAATTTCTTGGCATTTCCTAAATCACTGTCGAGAAAAGCATAGAGTTTGAAAGTTAAGAGAACAAATTCGTAAAAAGCGCTATATAGAATAAAAAACTATTTCATGTAAACATGAATTAAACTTCTTAATATCTCCTCCTATTTAACACCAAGCTAATTTTTTATTCAAAATCCTTTTGAATACTGGTTGGTGAAAATTAAGTTCTCCAGTTAAGTTTGTCTTTTAAAAGTAGCGAAGTAGTGACTGCATTTCGAAAATAGTTTGTTGTCGCTATATTAAAAAAAAAAAAGTAGTTGTACTTGTAGTTAACTACAATTGTTATAAAGTAGTTGTAATTAACCATAAGGAAAATGTAGTTTTCCGTCCACTGGGAACAACAATCACTTCATTTGCATCGTGTCTTAATGAAATCATAGCTTTTTTTTAGGCTTTGTAGAGGACGCTTCATGGTAAATTCTCTCTCACCGACATCAGTCATTTCAAAGTATAGAGCAATTGGGGTTCATTACACTGGAGTTCCGTAAGTTAGGATTTTTTTAAACTAATTATGACTTTTGAAACCTGTCACTATGTTTTCATTCAACCCATAATCTATTATTTATTTTATATTTTGATTCATTCAGTGAAATTATTTAAGTAAAATGGAAAGGTGAAAGGAAATAACAAAATTAAAATGAATATACTTTCCCATACATTATTATTGAAAATGAATAACCAAAAGAATATACATTTACAAATAATTAGACCAGTATTTATCATCAAACATTACAATTTTAAATGAAATAACCAAATGACTTGTTATAAACAGTAACAACCATTCTCACAGTTTATAATAGTTGTTTTTTCAAAAAACCGTCATTCAGCTCATATGACTCCATTTCAACTAGCGACAAAAACTAGAAACCACTGCAGACCTGAAAATTCAGCTGATTTAGCATAAAAACAAATTTGAGACTGTTTTTGATAAAAACAATGAAAACATTTCTTCTCAATTATTTCGTTGTCATTTACTGGTTAGTATAGTAACAGTTGCTAATGAACTTTATTGACAAAGTCGGGTTCTGTGAAAAAAAAGCTCGATGATTTAGGGTTTCATAACCGAAAAAAAAAATTATTAACCACTGGTATTGAGTATTGAAAGAAGTGAGAGTTTGATATTATGTGTACCTAGAGTCGAAGTTTCGAAAGCGAGACAAAAATTTTCACACTATTCAACTGCAAACCAAGTATGGCAAGACGACACAATGGGAAAGTAATTTTGCCGTGATTTGATATTTTGTAAAAGAATAATCACCATTTGAAACTTTAGAGTTTACTCTGAGTTCACTTTACCTTCACTTTTTTTTATTTTTTTTATAGACTTTACATTTTGAATGACCAACGGAGTTGAATCCACAGTTGTTACCGCGGTGTAGCGCTCGCTTCATGTATTGATTTTCAATATTTTCTTTAGATGTTGCGTATCGTAAAATTTAATGTCAACAAAAATCATTAGGAAAAGAAAAAAAAACTGGATTAACATTTTTTCCTGCATTTTGAAAAAACTGAATCTTTTATTTATATTGACCGACGTTATGAGAAATGCAACAAAATCAAAACCTGAAAAATTTAATTCGCGAAATTCCCACTTTATAAACGTATTTTTAATATTTCATAAAATAATTGTTCAATACATGACTTGTGGGCAAAATAAAAAAATAAACAAGAACACCTACACATGAACATAGGATCAGATTTTAACTGACTCATTTTATTGGTTCGAGAGTCTAACCTGAAATCTATAGATTCATGAGTGCAAACGATGCTTTTTAGGCGGATTTGCATTTTAGATTTTTAAAATAACGAGGGTAGCCACACACTCTGAAAAAACAAATTGTTCTACTAGAATTTTTTAATATTTTTGAAATAAAAATAGTGAAACAATAATAAAATAATTCTAAATACTATACAAGTCTTTGAAAAACTGTTTGGGTGCAGGTTGAATCAAAGTGATTTCAACTCTCAAAGAAAATTTTTGTGTCAAGAGCTGATGGGTTTATTACTTATCCGCCCGTGGTATTTTTTTCTGGTTTTGATAATGATTTCTATGTCTAAATGAAAGATTATTATCTGATTTATTTCATAATGACACCCCCTTTTTTTTACCAGAATAGGGTAATGATAACCAAATTTAATGTTAAATCAAAATGAATGATTTTACCCTGTTCTGTCGAAGAAAAAGTCTAAAACATACCCAAAAAGAAACCTCCGAATTTTTTTTCCTTTAACCTTTTGACGCAAAGGGGACTCCGGTGTTCTTTATATATATTTATTTTTCCTATTTATTTTTCAAGGAACACGTAAATATATATTTATTATATATATTTATGTGTTCTTTATTTATATATTTTTTTCTGACGCTCTAATTACACACAAAACTACATTTTAGAAATTTAGAATTATATAAAACAGACTATTTAGTGACTAGAAAAATCCTTTTAAATTATCGGAATTATATATTTGTACTAAAATATGAAATTCAAGAACTGTAGCTTGAAAAAAACCTGACCTGGGCTGTGTAGGCGTCAGGAAACTCTCCTTGTATCAGAAAGGTTCGAATCCCGAGCAAGGCATGGTTGTTCTTTGATTCTCTGTATTATTTGTCCTTATGAAGGGAGCAACGTAGGCCCACCTAATAGGGTGCCCCCAGGAAGGAAGGCCAGCAAATCTGCCCCTTAAATGCCTGAATGGACGAAATCTTAACAGATGTGGGCATTGGAAATAAGAAAAAGCTTGACATATTTAAAATTCAAAAATTTACCAACCATTAGTTTTTTTAAATGAAAGAAATTTCAATGATGTATAACTGTTTCTCCTTGGACATAAATAACTGCAAATTTGAAAAGTTGTAAGTGAGTTTATCTTTAACGCAGAAAAAAAAAAAAAAAAAAAAAAAACACCAGTGTTTCACAACATAAATCATTATGATGCTAAATATAATATTTTTCACTTATTTTGACCTAAGTTAATACAAAATAACAAAAAAAAAGAGTATGGAGGATATGTTTAATAAAAATTGCAAGTCAAAGGATCCTTCGAAGTGGTGAAAGAGATGAGTCAGATAGAAGTTGTGGCAAATCACACTCAGTAATGGAGCTGCTAGTT